CATTGAACACATTTTCCTTTCCATGACTCGCTGCCCACGCTGCTATCGAGTGGCAGGGCAGTGGGGAAGGGATGCAGTGACTGTGAAATGTTCCCTGCAGAGCCCCGGAGCTCTCCTCGGGAGCTGCACACATGCGAGGCCATGTGAGCTGAGCGCTGGGGGAAACAGAGCTGCTGAGGGCTCTGCATCCTCAGAGGGCTCTGCATCCTCACTGAGAGCCCTGCAGCAGGAAAACAGGTGAGTGTGACCCCCCCAGAGCTGCCCTGCGCTCCCTGCAGGAGCCAGGCTCAGTCCTGTTGCTGTTTCTCCACAGCCTCAGTCTGAGCTGTCAGGTTTAATCGACTTTCTGCATTTCCTGGCCATTGCCAGGGCTCCTCTGGGCTGCACATCCAAGCTCTGGAGCTCTCCCCGGGGACACAGCGGTGCCTGCTGGGTAGAGCTGGCTTTGGAGCTCGGATCTTCCTTGACTGGTTCTTGCTGGGCCGGGCGTGCTGCTGCTGGGTGTGTTGGATCTCCCCTGCAGCCTGGGCACGGTGCAGGTGAGCTCCTGTGTGAGCTGTGGGACGAGTCCCCCACTCTGGGGACAGGTATTCCACGAGGGCCAGCAGCTGGCACCCAAAACTGGGTGTTCTTACACCAAAAATTCAGTGGTTTTACACCAAAGGAAGCTTGGCATGGCTGTAGCAGGGCTGCTTCCTCCTACTGTGACACATTTGGACATTGCTGTCACCTCTGCTCAGCCTGAGCTGCTCTGCTCTGCTCTGCTCCTAAGGCGGGTTTGCCAGGCTGTCCCTGCTCCCCAGGCTGCCCTGGGCTCTGTCCCTGCTCCTAAGGTGGCTTTGTCAGGCTGTCCCTGCTCCTAAGGTGGGTTTGTCAGGCTGTCCCTGTTCCTAAGGTGGCTTTGCCAGGCTGTCCCTGCTCCTAAGGTGGCTTTGCTAGGCTGTTCCTGTTCCTAAGGTGGCTTTGCCAGGCTGTCCCTGCTCCCCAGGCCGCCCTGGGCTCTGTCCCCCCTGTCCCCAGCACCCAGCACAGGCTGCAGTGTCCCCAGCAGGGCCTCTCCACATGAGGGACAAGCAGAGGATTTCATGTGCCTGACCAGGAGCCAGCCTGGGGCTGGCACAGTTTCACAGGGCAGGGCTCCAGCTCTGTGCCAGCCCCTCGGAATTCCCAAATTCCCATCCTCAAACTGCTTGGGACAGGGACAAGGGGCATCCAGTGACCTGAGGCCGGGGCTGGGGCTGCTGTGCTGGTTCCTCACCTTCCTTTTGTCCCTCTCATGGTCCTGCAGTGGGGTTTGCTGTCAGGGAAGGTTCTGGAGAGGAGAAGCCCAGGGAAATCCCTCAGGGTGTGACTGGAATGCTGCTCAGGATGCTGCAGCATTCCCTGCTGCTCCTGGCGGCTCCTCCTGCCGCAGCCTGAGGAGCACAGGAGCCCTTTTCCCTGGATTTGGGAAGCAGCAGCCACTGGTGGGTGTCTGGGGGGAAGAAACAGGATTGCTCCTACCAGGAGGAAATCCCAGGACTGAGCCCGGAGCTGTCACTCGGGGTGATGTGCATCCCATTTCTGCCTGGACACGGCTCCCAGCCAGCCCAGCCCCTTGGGATGTCACCACCCAGGTGGCTGCCACCCCCCTGCAGCCCCCTCCCCTCCTCACGTCCCCTCCTCTCGCAGCCTGGCCGAGGTGCTGCAGGCAGGAGGTGACAGGGGACACCCGGTGTGAGGAAACACAGCACGAGTATCCCTAAAAAAAATCCAATTTACATCAAAAGGGCTGAGGGCTGAGACCCAGCGCTCCTCTGCTGCCCTGGGCAGGGACAGACTGGGAGCTGTGAGACCATTCCGGGTGTGGAATACACCGGGAGGAGGAGGAGGAGGAGGAAGAGAAGGATTTAAAGTCTCCCCCAGCACGAGCTGAGGTGATCACGGCCATGACACAAAGTGTTGGAGTTTCCCAGCCAGACCCATTTTTTTGGGAACGCTCCCGACTACAACCAGCCCATCTTCACCCTTCATTTCCCCCACATCCCCCTGAGGGTCTGCGATCACCAAAAAAAAAAAAAAAAAAAAAAAAAAAAAAAAAAAAAGAGAAAAAAACAACGGCAGAACGCAAAGTAATTCTGGAAAAAACTCCCAAAAACCTCCAGCGCTTTGCTCAGCCATTCCGCTGGCACGTTCGGAAAATGCCCCGAGGCTCTGCTGAGCGAATTCACTCGGGGATCACAGCGGTGCCTCAGGTGGGCACAGAGTTCAACCCCGGCGACCTCAGCGCACGCAGAAGCGCCAGGGGACACTTTGCTTTGGGCTGGTGCGGGTGGAACGGCCCCAGCCCCATCAGCAGCCTCGCTGTCCCCCCTCCGCCGTGCCCCCCGTGCCGGGACCATCCATCACAGCCGATGCCTCCGCTGCTCTCCGGCTCAGTCCCCGCCGCCCGCAGCAGCTGGGCTCTCCCTGTGCTCATCCTCCTCTCGAGCCGGCGCTGTCAGGCACCCGCAGCAATCCCTGGCATGCCGAGGGCTGTAATTTGTGTTTATGAGGAATGTTCTGCACCAGCGAGCAGCTGGTGTGACACAAGGGCCGAGCTCATGGCTCTGTCCCCTAATTGTTGTCACATTCCTGCCCTTTGCTCGGTGCTTGCTTTCTCTTCGTGGTTTCTCTGAAGTTCCAGTTTGGGGCCTTCAGCTTAATTTGCTGGAGCTTTTCCTGGGAATCTCTTTTCCTTTCGGTTTCAAACTGGATTCAAGGCTCCAGGTGGTCTCGGAGTTGTTGGGAATGACCCAGAAGTGCCTGAGACTTCTCCCCCAGGGTGACATCTCCCCTCTAAATGGAGGAGACTGGTGAATGTGGAAATCAGAGCCATGGCAGAGCCTGGGATGTGGGAACCCCCCCCCAAAGTGCCCATTTGTGCAGGCAGCAGCAGGAAGGGAGCGGGGTGGGCACCCACATGACCGGGTACTCATTGACCAGGGGTGAGCGGAGGGCAGGCGGCCACAGGAGCCAGCCTGGATGTCACACACAGCCTGGATGTCACACATAGCCCTGGATGTCACACACAGCCCTGGATTGTCACACATAGCCCTGGATGTCACACCACAGCCTGGATGTCACACACAGTCTAGATGTCACACATAACCCTGGATGTCACACACAGCCCTGTATGTCACACCACAGCCTGGATGTCACTCACAGTCTGGATGTCACACACACCCTGCACACCACATCACCCCTGGCCCCTTTGCTGCTCCTCCCTGAGCCCTGCAGAGCCAAGGATGCCAACCCCCATCAGCTGCAGGTGACAGACAGGCTGTTCACCCTGTGTCACCAAGGATGGCCTCTCACCCCTGCTGCAAAGCCACCACGTCCCTCTGGGTCACTGTGCCTCATTTTGAACCCCCCACCTGCTCCCAGAGGGGCAGCCCAGTTCAGAGCCCGCTGGTTCAGCTCCTGCTCCCACTGAAGAGCTGCTGCTGAAGGTTTTACCCCACTCCCAGGGCACCCAAACATTGCTGAGGGCCTCAGGGGTGCTCCCTGGGACAGGCTGAGGTGGCCAGAGGAGATGGATCCTTCTAGAACATCCCTTCCCTCCAGGGGGCTCGGATTTGATGCTCCTGGTGCACCATCTGGGAAGCACTTCCCCACACCTCGAAGTGTCTCCCAGCCAGCCTGGTGGTTCTGAGATAAGAAATGAGAGTCAGCAAGTCCAGTGAGATTCCCACGCACCAAAGGAGCAAGGGGGAAAGGAGTTCTGGCAGCAGGAGAACTGAGCAAGCCCAAATTTGTGTCTCCTGGACAGTTTTTGCTTTTTTTGTGGAGTATCCATATCTGGAAAGAAGACCCTAAATTTAGGATTTTCCTCCACAGAACTTGTGTCCCCTTCTGTCCTCCTCGCCAGCCCTGCTGTACCCTCCGTGCTCCCACACTCTGTGGAGACGGATTTTGTGCCTTCCCTGCCTCGGTTTCCCCCTGCCCTTCCCCACCACCTTAAACCTCCTGCACATCCCCCAGATTTCGGCACTAATTACAACAACTCTGCTGACAGACAGGGCGGCGTGCGGAGGGAAGGCGAGGATTAATATAGCCGAGGATATAAGAAATTAATTACTTTCAGGCAGACAATGTTGGCACCTCCAGTCAGCCTGATTTATTTCCACGGCTGCTCTATTTTTGGCCAACCCAGAATGTTTGACTAAATATAAGACAACAAGGAGCTGGAATGGGTGGGGGAGCCGCTGCTAGATCCACGACCCCGAGAGGCTGAAACCCCCACGGCTGCCGGTCCCGGTGTCTCGGGCTCGAGGAGGAGCAGGAGGAGCCGCAGGAGGGAGCTCCCCTGACCGGCGTGCGAGGCGGGGATCGCCGTGCGTGTGTTTGTGTGTTTGTGCTCTCCGTGCGCGGCTCTGCCCGGGCCAGCGGGGCCGAGCGGGCTCCCGATCCCGGGGCTGCGGCGGGGAGGAGCCAGCGCCGCACGGAGCCGAGCGCCGGCAGCGCTCCCGCACCGCGCCGGGTCCCGCACCGCGCCCGCACCGCCCCCGGCACCGCTCCGACTGCCCCTGCTCCGCTACCGGCACCGCCACCGCTCCAATTCCCCCGGTACCGCACCGCCACCGCTCCAATTCCCCCGGTACCGGCACCGCCACCGCTCCAATTCCCCCGGTACTGGCACCGGCACCGCTCCAATTCCCCCGGTACCGGCACCGCTCCAACTGCCCCCTGCTCGGCACCGGCACCGCTCCCCCTCCCCCGGCACCGGGACCGCTCCAACCGTTTTCCTGCTCCGGCACCAGCACCGGCTCCTCTCGCGTGCTCCGGCACCGCTCCAACCCTCTCCTGCTCCGGTACCGGCTCCGGCATCCGCCCCGCTCCGGTGCCGGCACCGCTCCAGCCGCTCTCCGGTGCCGGTCCCGCTCCGGTGCCGGCCCCGCTCCGCTCGCAGCCCGGCCCCGTTCCCGGAGCGGCCCCTGCTCTGCCCGCAGCACCGCCCCTGCTCTGCCCCGCAGGAAGGAGGAAGGGACACGGCAGGAGGGAGAGCGACCTGCTCGGCGGCCGGTGAGTGCCGGGGTGACCCCGCCGCGGGCCGGGGACCCTGCCGGTTCCCCCAGCCCCTCCGGGGACCCTGCCAGTCCCCCCAGCCCCTCCGGGGACCCTGCCAGTCCCCCCAGCCCCTCCGGGAGTCCTGCCCGCTCCCCCAGCCCCTCCGGGAGCCCTGCCCGCTCCCCCAGCTCCTCCGGGGACCCTGCCAGTCCCCCAGCCCCTCCGGGGACCCTGCTAGTCCCCCCAGCCCCTCCGGGCACCCTGCCCGCTCTCCCAGCCCCTCCGGGGACCCTGCCCGTCCCCCAGCCCCTCCGGGGACCCTGACAGGCCCCCAGCCCCTCCGGGGTCCTGCCCGTCCCCCCAGCCCCTCCGGGAGCCCTGCCCGCTCCCCCAGCCCCTCTGGGGACCACCACCGCTGCCTTTGGGGCTGGCGGGGCACAAAGTGCGAGGGGAGGGGAGAGTTGGAGTTGGAGGGACGGAGAGGGAGGGTTCAGCTCGGCACGGTTTGTGGCTTGGTGCTCCCTGGTGAGGGAGATTCCTGCGCGTGTTTGGTCCTAAATCTGTTTCAGGGAGCCCAGGTCAAGCCCAGTATTGGATTTTGATGGGCATCCCTGGGTGGGTCCCGCTGTGAGGGGTCTGGGGGGATTCTTTCAGTGTGGAAGTGCCCGGGGGTGACACCCAGGGTCTGTGCGGTGGGTGGGAGGGAGCCCTGCCCCGGGCTGGCAGCTCGGCATTCCCCTGGCGCTGCAGTTTTTGGCGGCTGTCACAATCAGCTGCATCTCTCCAGCGCTGCCTGTTGCTGTGACAAGTTCCCGGGGGTGTGCCCCAGAATGTGTCCCCCTCTTTGTCCCCAGACAGCCCCTTGGGAGCTGCCCTCCGTGCCAGGGCAGCCTGAAAAGCTTTAACAGCCTCATCTCTCGGTGAAAACAAGCTGGGCTGAGCGTGTTGGCACAATGGTGGCATCAGCTCTGAGAGGAAGAAAAAAATCAGGGTCAGGCCTGGGGCTGCTGGCGCTGGGTTTTGTGCTGTGCATCAAGGAAAGCAGCGGTGCAATGTGATGTGTGCTGGGCTTGGAGAAGGTGCCTGAAGGGGGAAAAGCTTTGAACAAGCATCAGGCAGAAAGTTGGAGCCTCTGGATGAGGTTTGTGAAAGGGCAAGAGCCGTCAGACAGGGCCCTGCAAGGAACTGGGATTAATTAATTCCCTCCTCGGTGGTGTGGGGCAGATTTGGGGTGTGGATCTGGGATGTACCAACACGTGGGGCTGAGATGTGGTCAGTGCAAGCAGAGTCCTGTTCTCCAGCCTCACGAGGCTGTGACAGCGCCTGTGGGGCAGGGGAGAGGTCGGGAACAGCAGTTCCCATGATCCTGAAGAGATTCCCTCCAGGAATCTGGCCATCGGGTACTGGATATGGTGTCAGCAGGGTTCCCATGATCCTGAAGAGATTCCCTCCAGGAATCTGGCCATGGGTAATGGACATGGTGTCAGCAGGCACACACAGGTGGCACAGAAATCTCAGTGCATTTGTGGTGTGGAGCATCCTTTCCTCCCTAGAAAAAGGTGGGAGGGATGTCCAAGAGTCCCAGAAGGAAGAGGCAGGAATAGGAAGGCACCTGGCTCACCCCATCCATGGAATTTCCTCAGTGTGTGAGGCACCCAGCTCAGCGTTTGCTGATTTCCAGGCTCTCTGTCATGCCAGAAGATTTCTGAGCAAGTTTTGGTGTCCGTGCTCTAGGCAGGGCTCACAGATTTGGTCCCAAGTTCCCAGGCTTACTCACTCACTCATGCTGGAAAATATCAGTACCATGTCCAAATGGGAGCAGTTAATGAATGAGTAGTGGAACAGCCTCGCCAGAAATCCTGGGAGTTCCTCCTCTCCCATCCTGCTGGGATAGAGAGAAAGAGAGAAAAAATTACAACTAATGAGGGCTCTGGAGATCTCCCCCTGTCCATGGCCTTGCCACGGATTCTGCCTGGCCTTGGCCACGTCACCGCCGTGTCCCCACGTCTGAGTTCCCCCATCTGGTAACTCCTGACCTTGCTTTGTTCTCAGGGCTTTGCTCCCTGAGCTCTGCAGAGCTCTGGGGTGCTGGCAGGGATGGGAAGCACTGAATCCTCATCTCCGCGCCGTGGAGGCCCCTTTCACTGAGGCAGCTCTTTGTGGAGCCCTGAATGGACCCTTCAGAGAGGCTGTGCTGGTGACAGAGCGACAGAGGGAAGGGATGGTGTCACACATTGCTAGTTACAGGTGGCTGAAGTGCAGCTGGCTGCTTTTTATTGGCTTCCAAATGAGCTGCTTTAAATCTTGAGCTGCTGCCTCTCGTGAGCATTCCTTGCCAGTGTCACTTGTCCCCTGGGGACAGGCTGGGGTGCACAGGGTGCTGCAGGGGACAGTTTTTGCCTTCCCCCGCTGGCACTGGACCCAGAGCAGGCAGATGGGAGCAGCTGCATTTTGCACAGGGGTAAAACACAGAGGCAAAACGGCTCAGGGTGCTACAGGGAGCTCAGCTGAGTTTTGATCTCCCAAATCCATGAGGATTCTTCCATTTTCCCTGTTCCACCAGCTGGTCAGGCAGAACCCTGGGTGTCCACTCACCACGTGCATTAAAATATCCACGTTGCAGTTTCTACTGAGACCATCATCCCCTCGGTCCAGCCTTCTGAGAGAAATGAATGTTTGGTCAATGCCTGTAAACCCTGGGACATTCCTCTGGCTTGCACAGAGCTGAGGTTTGGGCCAGGAGGGCTGAGAATCTCCAGAAAAGCTGGGATCTGTTTGTTTGGAGTCATGTCCAAGAAGAGTAAGAGTTTCCAAAAGGGCTTAGGCTCAGTAGGAGCCTCCCAGATTCTCCTTCCATCCTCAGGGAAATCGAGGCAGCTTCTTCAGGCAGCAGGACAGGGGAGCTTGGCTCAGCTCAGAGGAGATCCCAAGCCTGGAACGAGTTCTGCTCTAATTCATGTGCTGACACCCCAAAAGCTCAGCTCAGCTGGGCTGGGTTTGCCTCTGTGCAGGCAGGGAAGCGATGAGAGGGCTCTGTTGGAGAAGGGCCTTTGCTGGCAGTGAACCCAATCCAGGCAGAGCTTTGCCCTGCCGGGTTTGCTCTCCTCTAAATCCACTGGCTCCTGCTGTTTGTCCAGGAAACCTGATGGCAGGAAGCAGCCTGTTGATGGATGTGGCCCAGATCCCAATCTGGTGAACAATTAACTTTGCAGAGTAATCAGCTCGAGCATCTTTTGCCCTCTCCCAACCTCCCAGCCCAGCGTTCCTTCCAAGGCAGCAGCGTTTTGCCCGCAGCCAGTGCTGCTCATCTGCTGCTTGTTTGCTCAGTCGCTCCCAATCTCTGGCTCCTATCTCTTTTCTGGCTGGAAGAGAAACTGCTGCTGGGATGATTTTCGAGGCACGGAGCAGTGTGGGAAGCCCTGGCACAGAGGGCTGGGGTTCATCTGTGCTGCTGCCACCGCTGTCACCTCTCATCTGTCTGCTTGTCCTTCACCTCCCTCCCTCCACGCAGCTCCTTCCAAGCCCAACCTCAGACCTTTCCCTTTCCTCCTGCTTTTCCCTGCTCTTTCAGGGACGAGCTCCAAGCCACCACAGGATTTTCCCAGCCTAATTCCCCACCGGGAATTGCCCACATCTCTTCCTGATCCCTGCTGGAGGTCTGGGTGTTCCTTCCCACACCTGAGCAGGGGCTCTGGGTGCGGAGTGCAGCTCCAGGGGGAGGCAGGACCTGCGGGGATGCAGCTCGGGAAGCAGGAGGATGCTCCAGGCACTCGCTCCAGCGAGCTGGATCCCGCTGCCAGCACCAGCAATTCCACCTTTGGTTGTGGCTTTTGTTTTCTGCCACCCCAGGGGTGCTGGGGGCAGGAATAACTTGGGAAGTGTTCAGAGAGGGGTGTCTGAGCTGCTGTTTGCAAGGATTGCTGCTTTTTGGGATCCAGGAGCACTCAGATGGGACATTTCAGGGATCTCAGCTGGGTTTGTTTCCTTTTCCTTGCCCTGTGTGGGTTCAAACCAGGAACAATTCCTCGTTTGTCACCGTGACCCCTCCATCCCTGGGGCCTGCGGGCACTGCCACAACAAAAATCGCAAACTGAGTGGCAAATTCCCAATCCAGAGCTGTCAGAGCTCGGTCCCTGTCACCTCTGCTGGGACACCTGGGTCACCTGAGCTGCTGCTGAGGTGCAGAGAGGGGGAAAACAGGAGGGAGTGGGGTTGGAATCGCTGCCCTTTCCTGAGTGCCTGGGAAGGGAGAGCTCCTGTGGGCTGCTAATGAGGACACTCCAATTAATGGCATTTTCAGTTCGTTATTTTGTTAGTTTTTAATTTTTTCATGTTTTCCCTTATTAATTTTATTGGTGACACCCAAAAGTTCCACCCTTGCACCGCCCTTGTCATCTTCATTTATCAGCTGAGAAACTGAGGCACGGAGTTTATTCCTGGGGTTGGGAAAATCCCATCACTGGCAGCTCTGGATCTCAACCCTGAGGCCTAAAACTCTCTCCAGGATGTGTTGGTCTGAATCAAACAGCTCCTGTCTCGCTGTGCTCTGGGTTTTATGAATTTAATTCATCTTTTGGGCACCTTCTCAGTGTTTTTATTATTGAAGCCTCTCCATGAACCCTCTCCCTCTCTTCCTTCCCCATCTCTGAAATCCTCAGCCATTTCCTTTAAAACAACCCAAATTTTCCCAGCTGCAGTGGGGCAGGCCACTGGCTTTGAGCAGTTTTCTGTGGTGATTTTGCCTTGAATCGTTCCATTTAAAAGGAGAGGCTGCTGAAGCCAACCATAAACACTGAAACCCCCAAAGAAATCAAAATGTGCCTTTTTTGGGAAGCAGGAAAACATTCCCAGCGTTCCTTATATTTCTGCTCTGTCTCCATTTTTATTTTAATGGTTTATTTTCTATTAATTATTCAGGTAGCATTTATGTGCTGGTCACTCAGGGGCTGGGATTCCTGATTCTGGGGGGATTTATCCTCAAAACACCCCCAGCTTTTCCCTCTCTCCTGTTGCTC